CCTCAAAATCAAATTTTAGTCGTATTAGATTATATATATATATATATATATATATGGCACAAGATATACAAAGAATGAATTTGTATGTCATTTGAAAAAATGCCACCAAAGCAAATTTCTAACCATAAACAATTTAGATTTATTACTCAAAATATATTTTAATGAGTAAAACAAACAATATCTATTATGTTTTTAACTTATTATGGAGAATATGGTGTAGTTAAGAAAAATTATACCTTGAAATGAAAAAAAAAGGTGTTTTTTTTTCTCCAGCTTATTGTCATTACAGTCCTTGTACTCAAAAAATCATTTTAAAAATACAAACAAAAGTTTTGGTTTTACATTGTGTGCTAGCCTAAAAAATGTGGTCTTATGTAATATAAAAATATGAGTGATACAAAATTGTTTTTGCAATGAAAAAGTAAAAATTCTTAAGAAAATTACTAATAGTTCTTCAAAATTCTCGATAAATAATAATTAATTAATGTTACTTACATTTTCAAATAAATATTACCTAATATGTTCTCCCATATTTACTTTTTAATTCTTGAATCATGGAAAAAAAATTTAACATTTTATGTATTTAAAGAATTTAAGTGAGGAGACAGTAATTACATTTTCCCAAGCAATTACAATTTAAAACTGTCAATTTTTTTTTATTTTCTATTGTTGGTCATTGATATATGACCTTAATGTAAAAGTTACCAACTAAGTTATTATGAGATGAATTTTTCCTAATTGTCTTAAGCAAAAGTTAATGCTTTGAGAAAATAACCCATGTATATTTCATAATTTAATATGCTGTGCTACATGATGTGTTAGGGACCATTTCAGGTTTTACGAGCATGTGATACATACATATTCCTTTTTACTCCGAATTGGAGCATAGGCCTTCTATCATAACTTTCCATTTCACCCTATTTGTGGCCAGATATTTTGCCTCTCTCCTTGTCTTTCCTATTGTTTTCAATTGTCCTGCACAATATATTTTTTGGTCTCCCTCTTTTTCTATTGCCCTGAGGGTTCCTATCAAAAACTTGGACACAGGCATGTGATAGAGAGCTTTTTCTGTTTTTTAGTTGAATTTTTTTCCAATCAATTTTTAAAAAATTGAACATTATAGAACTTGCAAGCAGAACTAATAAATAATAAAGTAAGTGGGCACTAAAAGTCATCTCAGTAAAATACTAATTTTCTTTTTTTTAAAAAAATGAAAAAAAGTAAAGTAAAAGCTCATTTTTGCACAAGTCCTATGAAAATCAACAAAGTGTATGCTTATAGTACCTTGGCTAGTCTGTGTATTTGTACCTTAGATCATTATAAGCTAAATACAACCAGCTCAATTTTCACAAATATGCCACTCACATTTTGTAAAAAAAAAAAAAAATTAATCGACTAACAAGTTTAAAGAAAAATCACTCATAATGAGTGTTCTACTAGAAGCTACATTCAATGGTTCAAGGTACAATATGTTGTACTATGGACCAATTTCCCTTACTTCAATAAATATTTTTTGTTTGAAATGTGTAACAGAATTTGTACATAAGGGATTATATTAATAGACGAGGGTATGTTTTATTTTTCCCTCAAAAATTCCAAGTTATTTAACTCTTTACTTTCTGCTTAATAGCTAACAATAGTGTGGAAAAGTGTTTTTCCAGTGTGTAAGGTTTATCCGTAATTCGTTTCAATTAATAAACTTGAGCTTGTTTCTACTCTTGACATATTAAGCTTTGCCTTCAAGTAAATTTTAGCTATATATGATGCGCATAGTCATTAATCGAAGCCTTTTCAGTCAAAATAATTTAAATTCATTTCCTTTGTTCTGTTTCTCTCAATTTATATTGCTTGGTATTGTTTTTGTTTCAAAATTTGGTGATAATATGTGCAACCAAAATTTTCATGCAGCGCTAAGTTCGTAAAATAAATTGAAAAGGTAATGGTAAAAGTATGAAGTTGCACTTCAATACAAGAGCAGTAAATTAAGGGGCTTACCCTCGAAATTGCCATATATATATATAGCGGTCGAAATAAACTTATGCCATAGATTGCAAACATAATAAACTTAAACTTCCCATATAAACAGTGGAGAAAATCTTTTTATTTTTTGGGCATAGCTTTTTTAGTGATCTTATCAATATAAAATTATGTAACATTTTATTTAAGCTTGGGAATAAACATTAGCAAAAAACTTCTTAATTTCATTTTGGAAAAATGTGTTTAAAATAGTAAATGCCAATAAAATACATGTTTGCGTATAGATGAGGAAATAGAACTATGTGACCAATATGAGTAAAATAATTTTTTTTAAATTATATATTTTTGTTTTGGAGGAAGGTAATCTAAATGCACATTTTGCATGATGCTGCGTATGCATGAAGAGGGGTATTCAACGCCCACCTTTGTCTTGAGTTGAGTCACAGCATCTTTTTGAAGTATTAACATTTATTTCTCTTTTTTTTCTAAAATTTCTTCTTTAGCCATTATGTGATATTAAATAGCAAGTATAATTTTTTCACTGGTTTATAAATTCCAAGTTAAAAATTCACTATTATCAGTTACAATGAACATTTATTGTCATTTAATATTGAAGATGTTAACATAACTTGTTTCATAAGTAGTTCTGCGTAAGGTAAAAAGATTGAAAATAATAGTAAGCAAACAAGAAGTAGTTGAGTTCCACTGAATTATGATTACATAGGAATTGAGTGTATTAACAGAGAATTTGAGAACCTGTGTCCTTTTCATTATTCTAAAGATTTTATCTTTTTTTTAAAAAAAAATTTGAAAATTTGTTATTGGAAACAACTTTTTATTCAACATTTCTCTTCACTGCTGCCCGTGCATCTTCACAATCTTTATGCATAATTATTTCTTAATGAAAGATCTTAGTGATAAAAGGTTACAGAAAGCACAGTATTTTGGTAAACTATAGTACAGCAGTTACCCATTACAGTAATTGATAGAAAAATTTGTTTAATAAACAGCTTCCAACTGTTGCTAGGTTTTCGAAAGTTGATGTTCTAAAACTCATTATAGTGTTGCTTACAATTTTCTTCTACTTAGCTCATCAATCACTGTTATATTGTCTTATTTTTTTACTGTTTACTAATTTCCTTTGATTATTTATTGCTATTTTATTAATTGCATTACTTATTATACATTGGCTTATATTTATTTTTAGGTACTTATTCAACAAATCAACAAGATAAAAGCTAACCGAGTACTAGGCTTAATATAAAATTAAAACAGAAAGTTATTTAAGAATCTATTCATGCATTTCATTATAACTGATTTGTCTTTTACAATGAATCTTCTCACTGTATATAATGTAGTTTTAAAAAAAGACAATAAATCTATTATAAACCACTGTTTTGTTATTTCAGTAAAACTTTATTTGTCTGAATTTATAGGTACAAAGCATGATATGTGAAACCTCTAAAGTTTTAGATCTTCTTTGCAGTGGTCAGAAAAACTAAATTTTTTTGCAACTAACTACAACTACTTTACTAAAAATGTAGTTAAATACATTTATTACATACCACTATAACTTTTTTTAAAAGTAGTAGTTACAAACTTCTTTAAAAATGTAGACACTAATCAACTACTTTTAAAAGTAGTAGTTACAAACTTCTTTAAAAATGTAGACACTAATCAACTACTTTTAAAAGACAAATTTTTCTGCAAGATTTAATTTACACTCATGCTCAAAAAAATGCTAAAACTTAAAGAAAAAATTCATTGAAAGTTGTTTAGAGTAATAAATTGGATTATTTATCAGGGAAAAGTTATTAAGAAATAACTATTCATGTTTATATGAGCTAATCTATTATTCTAAGCAATTTTTTTTTTGACGATTTGATCAGCCTTTCCAGTTCAGACAGCTTGTGTCTGTACTTTCTGCAAAAAACAATTTAAAAAATAATAAGTTGACTGTGCAAAAAAAAATTTTTTTTAAGTACTTCACACGATAAAACAGAGTTCTGGGAAAAGTTTGAGTGTAGCTGTAACTACTGAAAACACAGTTGTGTGGATAGGACCATCATCATGTTGAGCTTCTTCAGAATTAACCAAAAACTGTGTTAACTAATAAAAAAAAAGAATTTTGAAGTTAAAAAAAAATATGCATTCCAGGAATTGAATTAAAAGTTGAAAAGTATATTATTACAGATATTTACAAATGTTAATTAGATTTTTATTAAAAAACTAATTATGCAAATCACAGTCAAACCTGAGTATTAAGTTACAAACACAAATAAAGCATCTCTAGGTTTCTATAAAAACAGTTAATCACAGAATTGTTTAGTCAAATGAAGATCAAAAGTTTATTCACAAAATTGTTTCTTCAAATTAAATTCAAAAATTTAACCACAAAATAATTAATTTTAAACATTCTCTTTTTCTTACCCAATTTCACTGCACGGGTAAAATTTGTGTCTCAAGACCGTAATCATTAGATGTCAGTCATGGGTGCCTAAGGCCGAGAGATTGTTAGATGTAAAATCGAAAAAAAATCTATGTTCTATGCTAAAAAGCAGAAGTATGTTGACATTTTCTTATGATAAAAATCAAAGTTTCATTAAAATGTCTTGTTTAACAATATATATCATTCTATAAAACAATCTAATCAATCATCGATTTAGTGCGAAAAGACACCTTGTAAACATAGAATCATACCCGATATTGTTGGAGATCTTTTAGAAAATTATAAATCAGCTTCTGATCCTAAAATTCAGAGCAATATAATTACTTGAAACCTCAATATAAGAACAATCGATGACAAAAATTTAGTTCCCCATATTTTATAATTAAGCTATTGTTTGAAAAAGTATTTAGGTTTTTTAATACAAATTTTGTTTGTAAGTGATGATTATTGTCTATTCTTTAAAAGAAAGCTGGATACTTAGGCTGAAGTTTAGGCAGCGTAAAAAAAAAAACTATTATCACAGTACTTATATTAGGCCCTTATTACTATAATTAAATGAGCCTCGCTGGTATCAATTATAGTTTGGCAATTTTTGATAGCTTCCCGATTGAGCTGATTATAATAACCACTCATAAAAAATAATTAGATATTTATATTTTTACTTCATTGACATAGATTATTCTTCAATCAAGTCAAAGAACCGATGACATTGTAAATAAAATTACTCTTTCACTAGAAACAAAAAAAAAAAGTTGCTTTTGGAAAGCTACTGATAGCCTCCGAAGGGATCGAAATTGAAATAGAAACTTTTTCTTCAAATTTCTGCTATAACGCAATCGAAAAATATCGATTGGTTGTAGGTACTTTGATTGGTTTTAGAATTATATTTAAAATGTTTTTTGAAAAGGGATTTTCATCAAAACATGTACAGGAGACCTTCGTGAACAATTTCACGTTAAAATTGAAGATGTAATCTTTTAAAAATTTTATTTAGGGAGGTCGTAAAAACCTATTACCACAGTACCTACACCTTACTAATTGATGAAGTATCACCGCTGCACTATATTTAAGCATATCAAATTTGTTTTTTTAATAAAATAATTATATAAATGCCTTCAGGTTTTAATGAATTTAGGAAATGTTATATCGTATTTCCTAAAATCTTATAAATGCTCTCTTTAGAGGTCGTTGACCCTGGGCTGTCAAAGCGGCTCGAGGGAAAAGTGAAAAGGAACATTCACGCCAAAATGCAGTTGCCGCACACCCGATTGCCGTCGGAGAAATATGAGAACCAGATCAGTGAAATATATTTCTAAAGCTTCTTAAATGTGACTTAATAAAAGTATTATTACTACTACAACACATTAGTTAGGGTCTGTCACATTACCTGCGAAAAAAAAAATCCCATATGCGAGTTCAGAGATGCGAGCGAGAACATGATTAGCGAGTTTTTTCCAAATTAAACCAATCAGGTTCTCACTCGCATGTTCGAATTTTCATACGTAAACTTCAGTTCGAATTGTCCTGTAGTAATTATGTTTTTGAGTTGAAGTTGAAGTGCTCCTCAAAATAAATTTTTAGGGAGAAATAGTTTAGCATTAAGTAGGACAGAAACAGAGAGTATAAAGTTTACCGCTATTATCCTCTGTAATGTAAACAAAATCAAAAGGACATGCACGGGAAAAGGTGAAGCAGGACATAGTTGAAATTAAAATGGGAGATCAAACTGCTGAAATAGACATTTATCGAGACACTCCTATTAGATTGTTGGGTAAATATTTTTATTTATTTATATATCTTTCGAATTCAAATTTAGTTATTTTATTTTTTGAATTATTTTGTATTATTGTAACTTACATGATGTAATAATGCATTAGAATAACCAATAGGCATTTATTAAACATAGAACATTTCTATGCGGTTTTTTACTATTTTATTAGCTTACTGGCTTATTACAAAAATGTAATCGGTCATGTAAGTGAATTTGAATACAACTATATTTATTTAATAGATAAACTATCTATGGAAATATTTTGTTTATGAACATAACCTCTCGCGCCTATAAAGCAAGTTATATAAAATTCTTTTACATCATAACTAAAATTAATTTTAACAGTTATTAAATTAATGTATTTTAAACGTTGTGCTAATCTGCTTGTTCAGGTTCAATGATTGTTTCAGTTCAATATCATATAAAATGTATATTGTTTTTATTTGTATTTTTTTTATTTATGATAAGGTAGGGTAAGTAATCATTAAGTTTTGGCACCAACTTAGTACTGGTATGAAAGGAACTGAGGAAAAACATTACAAAAAGGGACCAACTTATAATCTCCCCTTGCAAGTTATTAATTTTCTTTTTATACTTTTTAAAGATTTTTACTTGTTAAATTTTTTTTTTTTTTTTGGCATCCTGGAAAAGGTGTTTGGTGTAAGCAGGAACCAATACAGAAATGAGTTAACTAGTAAATATCAATAGAGAATATTAAACAGAGTTAGAGAGGTTAGTTTGACTAAAATCTAATCTGAAAGTAGAGTGAAGTTTTTTCATTTGATCATGGATCAGTTTTAAATATCAATCATTATTATGATAAATGAAAAATGAACTTTTTTTAGCCATTCTTTTGAGATACAGGTTTTTGTACAGGTTCCAGTTCATCCCAACTAAGCTCATCAAGGTATTAAACGATTCTGACTAATTATTTAACTTCTGATAAGTTAAAGGCTTGTCCAAGAGTGGTGATGAGATGTACCACACAAGTTACCCCTATTCAATTTTTCACTTCCAATCTTTAACTCATTTATTATAGATATAATCCATTTCATAATATGAAAACTAAAGTAGTAATTGTATACTGTGTTCAAAATTTCTTGGGATAGTAAATATACAGTAGAGAACCGATTATCCGGAACGATAGGGACCATCGCTATTCCGGATAACTGATTTTTCCGGTTTTCTGGATCGCTACAAAAAGCCGTTTTTTTAATTGTTAAACCCAACTAAAAAAAAATTATTTGGAAATAATCTTGAAAAAATGAAGTAATACACTAATGATTATTTCCAAAATGATGGTAAGGTAGACATCTTTCAAAAAAGAAAGAAAAATCCTAAAATCTTATGAGGAAAAAANTCAGGAACTGACACCGTGAGTACGTTATTCAAGAACTAATATTTTGTACACGTTATTTAAGAACAAGAAATCGGAACCGGTTACTTAATAACTGATATATCTTAACCGATAAGTTCTAAGGAGTAGTCAGGGAATTTGAGCCAATGAGAAGGAAGAGGCGTAAACGTCATGATCCGAGGAAAACTGGTTCCCTCCGCCAGAAACGTTATCTTCCTTCCTCGGCGACTCTTCGCCAACTTGCCGTAGTTATGATAATATCCCCGGCTAGGGGAGTGAATACAACTATATTTATATAATACAACTATATTTATTTAATAGATAAACTATCTTTGGAAAGATTTTGTTTATGAACATAACCTCTAGTGCCTATTAAGCAAGTTATATAAAATTCCTATGCATCATAACTAAAATGAAATTTAGCAGTTATTAATGTATTTTAAACGTTGTGCTAATCTGCTTGTTCAGGTTCAATGATTGTTTCAGTTCAATATCATATAAAATGTATATTGTACACCAACTTCGTACTGGTATGGGAGGAACTGAGAAAAAAACATTACAAAAAGGGACCAACTTATGATCTCCCCTGGCAAGTTATTAATTTTCTTTTTATACTTTTTAAAGATTTTTACTTGTTAAATTTTTTTTCTCCGCATCCTGGGAAAGGTATTTGGTGTAAGCAGGAACCAATAAAGAAATGAGTTAACTGATACATATCAATAGAGAATAGTAAATAGAGTTTAAGAGGTTAGTTCGACTAAAATATAATCTAAAAGTGTGAAGTTTTTTCATTTGATCATGGATCAGTTTTAAATATTAATCATTATTATGATAAATGAAAAATAAATTTTTTTTAGCCATTCTTTTGAGATACAGGTTTTTGTACTGGTTCCAGTTCATCCCAACTAAGCTCATCAAGATATCAAATGATGTTGGCTAATTATTTAACTTCTGATAAGTTAAAGGATTGTCCAAGAGTGCTGATGAGATGTACCACACAAGTTACCCCTATTCAATTTTTCACTTCCAATCTTTAACTCATTTATTATAGATATAGATATAATCCATTTCATAATATAAAAACTAAAGTATAGTTATTGTATACTGTGTTCAAAATTTCTTGGGATGGGAAGTATATGTATAATATAAGTATATATACCTATATATGTGTAGTGTTTCAATTGTATTCTCGGCAGTTACTGATATCATACCTTCCAAGCCAAGTCTCCTGTTTTTTAACAAAGACTCCTGATTTTTACGACTATCTCCTGTTTACCGGTATATTCTCAAATTTCTCAGTAATTGTTAAAGAAATAAAATTTTTTTTTTTTTGTCAATGAAATATTTGCTAATAGCAAATATACTTCTCTTATTTCTCAACAGATGGTGGTATTGCCAGCATTGCAGTATGTTGAGTGTTTATAGTTTAAGTAATTATAAATAATGGTTTAAAAAAATCTTCCTTAGATTAAGTTCTATATACATAAAATTTTTACTGCGCTAAATGTAGGTGCTTATATTATTTCCAATTTTGAATTTTTCTTTTTGACTTACATGATTATGCATGATGTAACAAAACTTTATTCGTAGCCCAAAAAATTTTGCTAGTAAAATTTCGCTAGTTACCACTACAGATTTCATGATTTTTATTTAATTTTTTTTTCAATACGATGATTTTCAAAATTTGAAAAAGGAAATAATTAGTGTATTTTCCCCCTTTCAAAATGTGAGAATATCGCCCTTAATATTAAAAGAAAATGTTTTTAAATTTTTTTTATTAATTAAAAAAATTCTGTAAAATTTTATTTTATCCGAGCTTATATAATTTTTTGTGTGAACACAGTGCTTCTGTTTCTTTTTTTTAAATTAGTAGCATGCATATTTTTTATTATTAAAAACATTTTCCAGAAAGATTATAAGTGCTAGAAAGGTTTGTTGCAGAAAGCCTGAAAAATTCTGCCCTGAGGAAATTACATTTGAAAGAAAGTTTGTTTGTCATGTTGAATAATATTAGAATAAATTTAGAACTAGATTTGGCTAAAAATGATTAAAGTATTCTTTTCATATTGAAATGTAACATTAATTTTGTGTACTTATTGCAGTCTAATAAGTTTTATTTTAATGTATTTTTTTTAATTTCAGGTTATGCAAATGAAGTTGGAGAATCTTTCAGAGCTTTGGTTAAAAAGAGTTTTGTTCATGCTAGTTATGTGGTAGCGTTTGGGTATGTTTTTGCCGATACTGCAGATAAAGTAAAAAAAAGGAATAAAGTAAGTTATTTATAGAATTTAATACCTTAGTAACTTAAACTATTATTTAAAGCAGAATAAATGAGGTCAAGGACAAACCAGCTCTTAAACTTGTTGCTTGCAGATATCACACATTCATGATTATGCTATGGTTTGCAATATCATGAACATGCTCAGTAATTCTTTTTTTTTTCACTATTAGGTTAAGAAAGCTTAATGCCTTCAGTATTTTTTAATCTCTTAGTGGAAATATTTTGGAATAGAATTATCCCTCATGTTATGTGATAGAAAACTAGCTTACTTAAATTATTTGCTGAATATTGTCCTCCCTGTGACCGAATTTTTTCAAGATTCCTGCACCATACCTCTCTAATACTAATATCTTTCTGCAAGTTACTTTTAAAAAGAACAAATATACATGTTGCTAATTTAAAGTAACAAAAGCATCAACTACACAAAAAAAAATTTTTTTTTGGGATCAAATAAAATAATTTTTGAATATGTAATTGAATTTTTAATTTAATTGAATGTGTAATATTTTTTAAATTCTAACATTACGGGCGATCTTCTCTTATTTTGTTGGAGAAAAACGCACTGATTATTTCTTTATTTGCATTAAGTAAATCATCATCACATTAAAAAAAAAAGTTAAAAAAATCATGAAATCTGTAACAGTAACTACCGAAAAAAAGAACGTCAGCAAAATCACATGAATCATACTCTTCAAAAAGTGTTAATTAAATGCGTGTTTTCATTTCGAGATTCAGTTGTTGTAATAAATAATATCGTATTAAAAACATCGGATTTTAAAAACTATGAGAAAATCTATAGTAATACCTGCATAAAAAAATAGAACAAAAAATTCTGCAGAGAAGAAAACCAAATTTTTTACTTCATTATTCTTCATTTTTCATTATTCTCAAACAAGAATAGAAAAAACTACACACGTTTTTTTCTACTCCGATGTGCAAGAAAGGCATCTTTTGATTGTTATTCTAAAGGAAAGATCAACTGCAAATCTGCATATCTTCCGATAATTTCTGTACAAAAGAAGACCAAAATTTTTTGCTTCATTATTTTTTATTTTTCATTATTCTCAAATGAGAATAGAAAAATCACAAGCATTTTTTTTCTACACCAATGTGCGAGAAAATAATCTTTTAAATATAATTTTGTAGAAAAGATAATATATTTCGAAAATTTTTTGCTGAAAAGAAAACCAATTTTTTTTACTTCTCAAAGGAAAAATCTTTCTTGAAGAACTCGGTAACTTTCTGCGACAATGGCGCCCTAGCCACAATTCTATCACGGTTATTATTCTACACCTACTGGCTGATTGCAGCTTGTTTCACATTCAATAGTTTAAATGTTTGTAAAAAATCAATTAATATTTTTTGTCTACTAGTCTCTTCACAAACTTAGATAGGATGAAAAACTTCATGTGGATGCAAAATCACTTAAAAAATAATTTTTACTAGCAATTTATGGATTCTTGTAACTAGTTTCAACTAAAGCTGGGCAATATGTTATAAAATATTGATATTTTTTAATTACCGCAATAAAGACATTAAAAATATTTTATCAGGATATTTCGTGAATACGATAAATATCAGCAAAAAATGAACATTAACACCCAATAATACCAAAGAATATTGACATTCGATAAATACTGATACTCAAAAAGTACAGACTTTATCATGACCCAATGATTAAAATCTTTTCATTTGCACAGTGTTAAACAGTTTGAGGACATTAGCGACTGAGCTGCTTTGCTTGAGTGCTGTTTCTTTCGAGTGGCGGTATAATAAATGTATTGGCCAGCTTATTTTTTCCAAACTGTGTATACTAAAACAAAGAAATGAGTAATTTCTGTATGAATGAGCCGTTATTTTTTTTATAGTGTATCGTATAGTTTTTCTTTAAATCCAATTCTCTAAAAAATTAATAAAAAGGAACATCTGTAGAAAACTGACATTAAATTAGTAAGGTATATGATGCATATATATCTGAAATGTATAAATGGTCATTAAATAGATAATGTTCAATATTTGGGGGGTCAACGTTTAAGATTTTTCAATTGGTGAAAAAATTCCATTTAATTTGTATCGCAAATATAATTAAGAGATATCATTAGAGTTGTATCTAAAGTATCGATATTAACCAATAATTTATCGTGGTATTAAAAATTTCAATATATCTCAGCACTGATTTCAATCCTTTTATCATCACCTAATTTTGAAAAAATTTATTCTTTAATGTTTTTGAAAGTTTTATTTTTTATAAAAATTCTATATTAATTTTTATACATACAACAGTATATATATTTAAAACTTCTTTACATTTTGCAGTTTTTTGAAGATATAAAACTAGTTATTGACTTACCCTGTGTTACCTTATACTTGGCTTTCTTTGTATATCTAAAATCTGACTCGCTCAGACACATTTCAAATTAAAAATTAAATTTTTTTATGATAATCACTTTTTACATTATTCTTCTACACTTTAATAATCTTGCCTTCTTGTGCTGCTTATTTTACATTGTATAATAGTTAAGCATATGTGCATAGCTCTGATTACATCTGTATTAAAAAATTTATTTTTTTCATCTTTTAGATTCTGGATGAAAATGACCCTTCCAGAAAAGTAAAACTAGTTACATCTGCTGTGGATACTCTAGTTTGGCAAACCTTAGCTTCTGTAGCTATTCCAGGATTTACCATCAATAGGCTTTGTGCAACCTCCATGTATTTGCTAAAGAAAAATACTAAACTACCGTCTTCCACTAGAAAATGGACTACAGTAGCTATAGGTCTTGGTAGCATCCCTTTTATTGTTAAACCAATAGATCACTTAGTAGATTCTATAATGAACCATACTTTTAGAAAATGGTTCATGTAGAATTTAATATGTAAAGTAATAGTATATACTTAGCAATTTTCTGTTAATGTTGTTTCATTTTTTTTATGGAAACAACAATGAAAGAAAAAATTTAATCTAGATATTCTTAATTTTTGAAATATTTCAGCATGTGGATAGGAATATAAAGATGTCCTTCTTGTGGAGATTTTGAAAATGTTTTATGTAGAATTTTAGAAAACTTCTAGTATATTCTTAGGAATTTCCAGTTAATATTGTTTGCATTCTTCTTTTACGAAAACAACAGTGAAAGAGAAATATAATCTAGATGTTCTTAATTTTTAAAATATTTTAGTATGTGGATAGAACATAAAGATGTCCTCCTTGTGCAGATGTTGAAAATGTTTTTTGTGGATTTTATGTAAATTTCTGGCATATTCTTGGCAATTTTCAGTTAATGTTGTTTGCATTCTTTTTATGAAAGCAACAGGGAAAGATATAATACAGTCTAGATAATCTTAATTTAAAAAAAAGAAAAAAGAAACATTTTAGAGTTCAGATAAAACATGAAAATGAATATCTTGGAGATGTTGTTTTTCTGATAATAGAATATTGTGTAATCTTTATAGTTTTATATTACCATTTATATGGATAGTTTTACTTAGATATTGACTTTGATATTCACTTGAATAATCGTAGTATCATCATGAATAAGTATGTAGTGTCTTATGATATATTTTAGAAATGTTTAGAATTTTTATTCATGATTTTCTTAAAAAGTAGAACATGTAATATTTTATTAAGCAGAATAAAAATATGAAGATAATCTTTCTGAAAGACAAAACTAATGTTAATCATAGATATATTGCATTTAAATAATTTTTTAATTTCTGTACTGAGCACTGGAGATAGGGCTCCAGTGTAGCATTATATTATTCATCCAGTGTAGAATTGCTTAATGCATTGTTACTTTAAATATCACTTTTTGTCTTTAAGATAGCATGCAGTTATTTATGAAAAGTTATTTTTTTCCTGTAATCTTTATTCAATAAGGAATACATTCTAATGATTTTAAATCTAGTATAAGAATTTCTTCTGTTTGTAAATCAATTGCTTTGTTGTGTAAATGGCAATTGCTAAAAGTCTCTTTTCTAGTTCTTTATTTTAGAAATTATTTCTTCCTAAGTGTTCTCCTCTTGTTACTAGTTTTCACTCCAGTTTTATATCTTTCTTTATGCAAGATGAATAAGAATTATCTGATTAAATTTCACCTACAATAACGCATAAAATGCGAAATATGTATCGTAGCTTATGTATGTAACAACAAAAATTTAAATTTTGTATAATTTCTTTATATGTTGCTTAATTTATTTCTTCCTATGTTTTTATGTTTATATTCATTTTTTAATTGGTTTTTTCCTTTTTTTATGTTGATTTCTCCATATTGAATTAAAGATTTACTAGTTGCTGTCATGTTTTGTTAAAGGGTTTATAAATATGTAATAATATAATTTCCAATGATGTATTTATCTATCTTATTTATTTTTTATTTTGCTTCTTGTTTGAGAAGTATAATTATATTCCTTTGTAAATAATCCTCAATTACTCCTCATTATTAAAAAAATGATATGAGTTAAAATTTATATGGAGTATTTTCTTCAATTGTTAAATAACATGAAAGGAATTTCCTAGTTATGAAATTTTTTTGGATGTGTGGGATATATTCGAGAGTTTCAAGATGTGTATTAATGAAAATATTTGTTTTTGATTAGGTTTATTTTTGAGTAGTACGTTCCAAATATGCCTATTAAATGGTTATCTATCAGTGCACTTATAACTTCAGTGATTCCCCTTGGAAACTGAATCCTTAGGACCCAATACTTCCAAACTTCTGGGTGCCTATTTAAAATATGAATTGTTTAATTTGTTATGCATCTATTAATAAGTACAAATATTGAAATATTACTGTACAAATATTGAATGAAAATATTATTTTGCTATTGATTAGGTTTATTTTTGAGTAACACGTTCCAAATATACCAATTAATTAGTTATCTGTTTGTGCACTTATAACTTCAGTGATTCCGCTTCGAAACTATGAATCCTTCGGAATTTCTGTGGAGAATTCTGAGTACTTCTGAATTTCTGTGTGCCTATTTAAAATA